TATGGCACTTTTCTCTCTTGAGTATGCAATCATGAGAATTTGAAAGCAGCCTACTTTTAGTTTAAACCGATCAATAAAATTATACAACCATACAAAAAAGGGTATACCAGTACCAGGAACAATCTATTTTACAAACAAGTTTAAGGTTTCGTATTGGAAACTCACTTAATTTGAAATGGTCAATTATTTTGTAATAGTTCTTAATGTATTACAAATGTCTTATTTCAAAAGACTCAGCAGTCTGGCTCAACTACCCTTTTCCTGCTGTCATGAAATTTGATTAAATCGTCGAAGTGATTTAAGTGAAATTCATCAGTAGAACAGCTGCTGCACTTTTTTTTTTATTAATTGTACCTGAACACAAAAAATATCTGGAGTTGCGATCATTAGAGACCTGGGTTGTTCAGGGGACAACATGAAGTATACTGGCTACTTGGTAGACTGTCTAAGCAAGGACAGAGGATTCATACTCCTCCTGTTTGAGAATTACCTGTAACTAAGGGGGGAAAGTCAGATGAAACAACGTGCCAAAACCTAACATCTGAAAAAGCAACATGGAGATAACTGTAGATCCCGATAACAACAACGATGAGAACAATGTATTTGTAACACCAGAGTATTGTAACAACATGGCAACGGTAAGGATGTCACTGAAGGTCAAGATGGTGTATACGAGAATTGTTCTTCTTTCCAGTCTTCAAAATTCCATCCTTTCAGTCGTACAACTGGATTTTTGTGGAATATACTTGCATCCCGCAACAGGAAAAATGGTCGAAGCATTGACCACAAACATATACATTGTCACGTAACAAACTTTTCTAACATGGTAACTTTTCTTCTATTTTTTCAGATGGATTCAAGACACCAATACCTTTTCTCCAAGGTGAGAATCCCTTTAATCTAATGTTTCGAATACCTTTAAGAAAAATAACACAGATGTATGTGAAAAATGTTAAAAACTTTTGGGTCCCATTTATGCTAATTAGGTCTAATGGTTGCTATGTCAGCCATGTCTGTTTCATTCAGCCACCTGTTAATTTTCATGGTGGACCTGGGAAGCTTGCAAACACCTTAAAGTTTACCTCAGTTGACACATCTGTTAATAGAGATTGAAATACAATGTAACCATCTACTTTATTTAAAAAAAAAAATTAAATGCAACTCATTCGGGGTTCTAGCTAAATTTGTTTCTCTGCCATTTTTAAGTTTACATAAATTAATTTTTCTAGAAAATGTTATACTTCTTTCATGGAATATACATGTTTGACAGTGTAACCTACTTTTATAGCAAAAGGTGGAATGAGGCAGTACAATTTGCCATGACAACCATTGCCATAGTGATGATGTCATACACATCATTTGTGGTATTTAAATTTATTCCATTCTATTTTAGCTGGCCGATGCGCTTCATATCGAAATAGCACAAGTAGAGGACTTTGTTCTCGGAGATGAAAAGGTGAGTTGTTATTGAAAATTAGAGATTCTGTAAAATAATGAATAAATCGAGCACGATTCATGGTTGTATTCACGAAATATCTGATTAATTTTTCACATTCCTACTCTGCTGTACATCAAGGGATGTTAGAATTATGGTGTATTATGGTATTATTCTTGCAGCAGATTCTTATCTTTTATAGTCTTTGACACAAAGTTACTTTTGTATAGTACATTACAAATGTAGTCCACTAAATGTGTAGTTTTATTTTTTAGAACAATCATACATCCTATAGTAATAAGTAATGTTGCATTTCTATAATATTCACTGATAGAAAATTTCATCATTTTCATCAATTTGTAAAAATTCATCTCCTAAGAAATTGAAGCAGTTTGCAGTGTACAACGTGTACTCTCTCTATTATTTGAAAATACCACCATCGTTTTATGCACTAGAAGTATTAAGTTGACTTGAAATGCCAAGCTGTGCAAGAATATGAAGCTAGACAATTGTGATGATTTAAGCCTCCCGGATTTGGTGACCATTACTCAGTTGGTACACTCTACCTTGAGAAGTTAGTTCTCAGATTACAATAATAATGCCAGCATGATAATGTAAACTGGTTTAATTTCGTTGATAAAAATTGCAAAATTTTGTAGCAGCAAAAAAATCTCTAGTTCCCCATGATATGGAGTGTCAGTGACTTTTGGGAAATTTTGTCTTCATTAATGTCATAAAATTATCAAATCATAAAAATTCCTAGTAGCAAAAATTAACTAGTTCAGTGTATTCACCACTCTAAACCTACATCTTCAGTCTGTTACTTTACTGCAGTATTTTTGCACAGAAATTCATAAAAACTCTTCAAAACACTATTAAAAAGTAAATGCCTGCCTGATAGAAATAATATGCACGTTATGTTAATGTTAATTATCACCATATTGATTTAATAATGTGACTATATTGTAGCGAGCTAACCTCGTGTGTTACCCAGGGTATTGTATTTGTGTATATATCTGATATAGTGGTATTACTACTCCATATCTCTCATATCATAGCCATCATTAGACATGATGATCAGTTTGGATTCAGGTAATTTCAGGCCATACAAACTTGTTTATAGAGAAAAGCTTCGAGAATCTATGAATGCCAAATATCATATTGTTTGGGGAATTATGTTTATTTTGGTTCAGATTATAGGAAAAAGTATAAAAAAGGTCAAACACTTTAATTGGAAAAGGTATGACATTCAAAAAATTTACATAAGAAGTTGAAAATCACTGAAAATATCCTTAAATAAATTTTCAATATTTTGATGTACAGATTTTTACAGAGATATTAAATAAACACTACCAAATGTGTGTTTATTCTAAGATGAATTATAGCAGGCACTGAAAAACTGGTCATGAAAACTGTTATCTCTTAATCAGTTTCTGTTGCAACATTGTAATATAATTCTGACAACACCACCACTGCCAGCGATTTTCTGAGGAATATTCCATTGTTGCAGTTGAATTCGAGAGAGAAATAGCGATTTCCATAATTACTTTTTTTTTCTGTGCAATAAAATTTAATGAACACCTATGTCAGATGTCACGCATAATCAAATACGTAACCCTTGGTTTCAGAAGTGTATTTTTTTCTTTCATATTTTTCTTTCTCTCTATCTTAAAATGTGTAATTATATCCACACATGATCATCTATGTTGATATTAACAAAGACGGATCCCCTACGTGCGGCTGATTTGCTTGAAAGGGTAAAGTTTCCATTCTATGTTACCCCTCAGTGTACAATTGTAGTTACTAGCAAAGTAGTCAGTCATCGTTAGATCATTCCTGGTAGGTGTTAGTAGTAGCGTCTCCATTCCTCTTCAACCTTGTCATCGTTATCCTCTCAGGTATTGTGTTATATTCCTTATCTGATACCAGAATTAATTGTAACATTCACTTCAACCCCCAGTTTGCCATTTCACAGTGTGTGCACACCATGTTTTTTTTCTCACAAACAATGTAAAAATAATCTCACAACACGGAAATGATGACTATTCCGTTAGTGTGCGTTAACTTGTTTGAGTTGTTTTATGTACTGCTTCCAGTGCCGTTACAGCTGCTGATAGAGCCGCTGTATCGATGTTGATAAATTTAATACAAATTTCTTTAATTGCTTAAACAGGAAAGCTTTTCACATCATGATTTCCACCTCGCAAATGCTTCTCCAAATTTTTTTTTTTTGCGCTATTCAGTCAAGTGGCAAAGTGGGCTTTCATATCATGTTTGCATGTGCATGTTATTTTTTCTAGTATTTTTTAATATTTTGGGCTTGAGATTTTTGCATTCATTGGAGTATATTATTCAGGCCTAGAAACTGAAGCTGATATGATATTGCAGGACAATCACAAAAAGGCAGTGTTCACAAATTCTGCTCCAACATTTTTTAATTAGGAATATCAAAAATATCTCCGAATCTATGGCATATCTGGAGGTGCTCTTCGACAGATTGTGAAATGCTTAATGTCAAAATAAATTTTCCAAAAAAACTGGGCCAATTTAACAGTTATTTTGTTTAAATTGAAATTGCTGTGGTTCACATTGAATCTAGATCCTGAAAATAAAAAACTTTGATAGTTTTAAATACTTTGCAAATTGTTATTTAATTAGACATGTGTCGTCAGAGCCTCAGTCCACCCTCACCCCATGTCAGAAAACTCAGCTCAGAGAGGCACGATTGCATGTCATCTTCTTTTTATTTATTTCTGCATGGCAATTGTCAGACTTTAAAAAAACAGTTGCTCAGTTTTCTGTTATATATTTACAGCATGAAATGTTTATTGTTGCTGACATGTTCACCAATTTATAGTTTACCTGTATATAGTTTATAGCTTTTTTTTTGTTGCTATGTCTTAAGCTGCTATAGTACTGCTTGTTCTTGTTCTGTTGTATTGGTGACAGTCAGTGAGAAATTTGGTGTTTTTGTAGCTCTCTTACAGGATGAGTGATTTTGAATAGTCTCTATGCATGACCCCTGAAAGTCACACATCCTGATATTTATGGGGGTAATTTTTGTCCTGTGACGAATAAGTTCCAGTATTATACCCTAACTGTTCTTAAACTTCAACTGCTTGCATTTCTTGAGAGAAACAATCAAAATATTCCTATTGATAATGAGATTGGTGATGTGTGATCTTCAGAAGTCATCTATGAGATCTATAATTTCATTTACACAGACGTCTTTATTTTGCTTCAAATTGGACTAAACTTGATATTAAAAACATCCTCTGCTAGTACAGTTTTGTAAACACACAAGGTGAGGTGGTAAATAGTTAGAATGTCACACTGACACCTGTTGATCTCAAATTTTATATAAAGTACGGTATGCTTCCAACCATAATTTTGCTACCTTTGTTCTTTGTGATGTCTGTTTTCGAAGTCATTCATCAGATAGATACACATCTGTGTCCCTAACATGCAGACCAACAAACATTGTGGCAGTATCTGTGTGTATTCATTTATACGTCTTTTTCTTACAGTTTGATATGATTGAGGATTTCTTTGCTGCCGACGGATCCAGAAAATTGATGTTTTATTATCAAGAAACAGCTGGGAGAGAAGCCATGTATTCTAGAACAGGTATGTATTATGTATAAAATTCATGATGTTTGTAATTAAGCTAATCGGTATTAGCAAGTAACAGCTGAACTGAGAGAGAAACAATGTATTCTAGAACAGATAGTTGAGTACTGTTTATGCTTAATTTCTGTTTTTTTAGTATCAGTAATGCATATGCCACATGCAAAGTAGAATGCTTTGAACTACAGACAAATTAACATTATTAAATGTTATATTGGCTTCTCTGGTACTCTGGTAACCACAACTGTTGAAAACAATGGATGAAAACTAAAAAAAAATGTAAAAGTGTAACAAGATTATCCCTACATGTCCAACATATTATAAATTTTGTTGTTCAGGACTGTCACATAGTTGAGTTTGTGCCATTTTCTCAATTTTACCTATTTTCATCGGCTTTTGAACCAGTGTTCCACAGCAGTTCACACAAAAAGTCCCTTAGAAATACATGATACATTGGTGTGCGACATAGCTCCGCCCCTAAGACTTGTAGTATTTTTTGCTAACTTTATTATTCATGATATAGAACTTATAAAAACATGCCTAGTAATTAAATCCAGTTGTGCTATTGTAAAAATGTGGATTTGTAATACGACTATTAATCACCATAACTCTTCTGTTGTTTTCGTGGTTACATGTTGCTGGATTTATTACTGATCTTGTTATTAACGATCATAGCTTGAGGAAATATTTATGGCACAAACGTATGTCTTTAGCTTAGCCTAAGGTAATATATATATCATTCCTGGTATCAGCATTGTGATAGCGCCCTCAAGTGGCAGTACTTGCATTTTCCACAACCTTTAGTTTTCCATTAGACACGTGATTTCTATGCTCAGATTTCAATAAATTTTACCAAAGTGAATTTCCCCACCCATGTTTTATTCAAAAGTTTCACCATGTTTTTTCCTCAGTTGTAAAGTGGTATTAGCCAACAATTGTAAATAGTTGCATCATACAATGTGATTATGATGAATTACTGAATTGAATTATTCAAAGTTAATTATTTTGAACAAAAAAAAAGTAATTAATGATGAGAACTGACGAAATTTTGTACAGGAAAAATTATAATGTTTTGTCAACTATCCTAGAAACATCGAGTGTTGCTACAGTCCCTATGCAGAAGAGGCTTTTTATTACCACAGGAGCCTCTGAAGGTCTTAATGGCATGTGTTACTTCTTTATCCGGAGTACTAACAAAGCCATCACTATACAAAACATAGCCCTGGAGGTCAACTTTGGTCAGATTGATGCATCCAATGGAAACATCTTGCAAGGCTTTGAGAAATATCTGTCTAGGATTATTGTTCCTTCTTTGAAATCTCAGGAGGTAGGTCAGATGTCTGTCTTGTGTCTGTATGTCTGTGTCAGTTAACTTCACTGTAAATGCGTGTTCATTCAATAGAGGGCCACTCTAATTTATTTTCAGTATGAATGTTTCTCAATTTCATTATTTGAAAACATGCACAAGGATGTAATTTCATGACAAGGGGATACTGTTTACCTGATTCTTAATTTATGAACATTTGTCTCACGTAATTAGTGGTTTAAAAATATCATATATTTTGTGCTAATGACAATTTTAAAAGAAGATAACAAATTGTGTGACAATTTGGATGAGAAACAATATATTAATAAACCTGGCAATATATCGATAATATAGAATATGCACTCTTGTCAGTGAAGGATCCAGATTTTGACTGCCTAAGACTGAATTATTTGTCATGCTGTGCAAAATCTGACTACCTCATAAGTTGGCATATATCTTCATCCATCACTGCTCATAATTAATCCTCTCAGTTAATCAATCAATGTTTATAATCTATCAAGTTTTGTAATTACTCAAAATACCTTAAAATTTGGCAGTTTACAGTGTTTACTGAAAAAAGTTCGATAGAAGCTTCAACTATGAAAACTAGGCCGCCTGCAGACTTTTATAGAAAACACTGGTCTTTGATTTGTAGTGCATATAAAGACACCTGACTGATTTCCGTGTACATTGTAACCTAATGGCTTCTACACTGCTTTCGTTTCTTCTCTACAGACTTGGGGTAGCATTACCAACAACAGTCAGATTGCAGATTTTCTAGAACAGTTGGACAAATTTGTTGTAAGTCTGTGCGGAGCTCGCAATAACATGGATGGACGTGTGCACTTAGCGGAACACGATTACATAGAGTCTATGTTAGACACACTAAGATCACCTAGCGACTACCAGGCAGCAGGTATGAACAACAACAAATCATTATTTGTGCTATGAAAACTTGGAATATCATGTGCAATCCATCTCAGTTTACTCGTATTTAAAATTACATCAGTATACTTTTAAACGGAAAGTATTGATATAAGTATTTGTAAAAAAATAATTTTAAAAGAAAATATTATTAAAATATTTTTTTTTCCCAATTGATTGAAATTACTAACTAATGAAAACCAACTGGTCCCTAGAAAGTTAAAAATTCTTATTTTTATTGCAAAAACTGAAAATCATATACTGGTACATACATGTAATATACAGAATACAGTTACAGCTATAAACTATCTCATGTAAACTTTACTAAAGTGAATGATATGTTGATCAAACCACATGTACTATTTGGCCCTATTAAAAGTCCCACTGTCTATTCATACCTATTTAGGTAACAGTATCATGTCCAAACACGGTGGTTTTGTTTATATTACAATAGACTTTTAGTGTGATGATTATTATTTTCATAACTGAAAGCCGCTTTAATAAGACAAATCTATTGTATTTGAATTGTTGTCAAAACAAAATTTTATTAGTTTTCGTTTTCATAGACATGAAACATCGTAGCCTGATAAAACTGACTGGCTTCCTTGGAAAATATAAAATTTTAATTTTATTGCCGAAATTGATGTCTATAAATTGCAGTTGTAAATACCATATTCCATATTTACCAAGTGGCAAATACATCTCTAATAGCAGCGCACATAAAAAAAATGCATTCATAGTATTAAAAAAAAACTTATTTTTACCATAGACTCCTTTGTTATTTATTTAAGCAAATGTGTTACTAATAAGCAAATACGTTTTTTTTTTTGTGAATACTGTGAAATATTTTATTTAAGCTGGAACTAATTTTTGCTGGAAAGATTTTTTGGGTGTTTTGTACTGATTTTTGACGAGTTAAATGTAAAATATAGGAAAAAAAGAATATTCAATTGATTTTATTTTCACTGAATCATTCCTTCAGCAAAAATAGCGAAAATTAATTCCAAGCGAAAATAAACATTACAGTATATTGTATAACATTATTAAATATCTGAGTGTCTACTGTTTTACGTTATCAGCATCAAGTTCAGACACAGTTGAAAAGTTTGAAGAGTTGATCCTCATATGGTCTAAGCAGATAGAGCAAGTGTTGGCTGAAAGTGAACAGATGAGGAAAGAGGCTGATGACATTGGACCTGCTGCAGAGCTGGATCATTGGAAAAAGAGAACCGCCAAGTTTAATAGTTTATTAGAACAAATCAAAAGTCCTAGGTGTAAAGCAGTCGTTGGTGTGCTGCATGCCGCAAAGTCGAAAATACTCAAACACTGGAAAGAACTGGTATGTTGACATTTATTTATTTATTTATTTATTTATTTATTTATTTTTATGGTAAGGTTCTACAATGTTCAATACAGATACCATGAGATACCTGCATATAGAGACCATCCAAGGGACTTAAACAATCTTTTATAGACAGGTGGAGCTTCATTATTTAATTTTTTAACAAAAATATGACAATAATTTCTCCGTTTTAAGGAAGACTGTTTACAGTTGGGGAATAAATAAAAATATTTTTGTTGAATAAATATTTAAAATGTAGAGAATAGTATAAAACATTTTGGTGTTACCGGTAATACAGTTTCATTTGACCAATTAGACAGGAGGTCTTTATACGAAGGTCACTTTACATGTAAATTTCTTTTTGACTG